TTTGGGGACTCACACAGGACGTCATTGGGCGGCAATATCTCGGCCTGGGCATCCGTTACAACAATACCTGTTTCTGACGTTTCTCCATTAATACTTTTTAGGAAATCGAAGCCAACCCACACAACTATGATGTCTGGTTCGATTACGTTCGTCTCATGGAAGAGGAGGGTTCAATAGAGCAGACCTGTGAGCTCTACGAACGCGCCGTTGCGAACGTCCCTCCCATTAAGGTATGCTGTGTTTTTGTGTGTTGACTTAAGCCGACGTCAGGTCTGTCCGTTGACCGAACCCTTGTATACTGGGTTACAAGGAGAGTTAACTTCTGTGAACTTTTTGACAGTAGTACTATCTCAAACTTTAATAAATCTCAACTGGGACATCACTTTCTGTGGCAGTTATCCTCGATAAGGGGGGAGCCGTTAATTGTCAGAGGCATGCACTAGCATGGCGACTGTATCCTACAAATACTGCAACTCCCTGTGTGTGAGTCAGCCCTTTCTGCTATTGTCTCTGATGATTGATCCGCGACGGAATCTGAAACGTCAAGCAAATAAAGTTCTTGTCCCAGCGATCACATCCGCTTCTTCTCAATTACTTCCTGGGACTCGAATTTTCGCTTGTATCGACAACTTTTTGCAGCCTTGATCAAGTTTTTTTAGCCTAATGCAATATCTGTTTTTTTTTTGCAAATTTGCCTCGTTCACCTCTGTATGTTGCAGTGGGAGAGTCTTAGTGAGTTGGTCTCTTCCGTTGATAACTGCTGGTATTCTAGTCGTATCCAAACGCTTGCACAACTTGGAATTATAAACGCTTATGCGTGCTTTAGGGTGAATTAACTGCCGGGGTTGTACATTTCGGCGAGCTTTGATTTCCCCAACCCTTTTTTCAGGTGTACGTCCGTGTTTTTAACAGACAGTCTGTTCGAAACATGCATAAAGGCACCTACTATAGTCGACTGTCGTGTTTTATTCGATGCAGTTCGCTACGCAACTGTCGCGTTTACCTTTTCCAAGCCAGCTTCCATAACATGTGGTCTGTTGTTTGCTTTAAGGAAAAACGGTACTGGCGACGCTACATCTACCTGTGGATTAACTATGCAATCTTTGAAGAACTCACTGTTGGCGACGCTGAGAGGACAAGGCAGGTGTACAATTTTGCGCTCAGGCTCATACCCCATCGCCGCTTCACTTTCGCCAAGTTCTGGCTATACGCCGCCAAATTTGAGATTCGACAAAAGCAGTTGACCACGGCCCGAAAACTTCTGGTGAGTGGTTGCCCCTTAGTCAAACCTATTCCTCGGTGTAAATAATTGCATACACTAGCAGGCCTTCTGATCTTGAGTGCACCCCTTGCGTACCCTGTTGAAGTCTTATATCTCGCGGGTTACTTTGCCGATAACTTCGCATAGTATTCTTTCTCTAACGGACAGCGAAGTAATTGATGTTGAGACACTCATTTGTGTCTCGGAGGGATATGAGAAAAAAGCAAAATCTGCCGATCATTTGCAGGACAAATTTATTTGTAAAAGCTTTCCGCTTTGTAAAAGAGTATCGCTAGTCGGCTAGAGATATTAATGGTAGTTCGTCCGTCAAACACGGTGTCTGTCGCCGCCCCAGATAACCATTCATGACTTGTACTGTTTCGAACTTAGTTTACTCCACCAGTCGTGTTCAGATTGCAAAACAAATGGACATAGGGTTGGCCCCAAAAACCCACCTTGCACAATGTCCCCTCTTTTGCATGACTTCTCTGTTGGTCTATTTCATAGTCTTAGCAAGCTCCGCAGAAAAATCCTCCGGTGCTGGAGAGACCCGCTTGTGGGAGTAAGCAAACT